TCGAGCGTGACCACCTCCTTTATTTCATGTCCTCACCCCAATCCCCTCCCCTCAAATTCTATGTATTCGAAGGTGACTCTTCAGGCCAGCCAAACTGCGACAAATTTTGCTACAGAATTGGCATACACAATCAGTTTTGTTTACAGTGACATTATTCGGTTGCACACAAGGTTTTGCACATTTACGCAAATGGCTTTTGAAGCCGGCAAAAGATAGGCACAATTTTCCGCATATGTCACAATTAACGTGGTGAATTTGTGGATCCGGTGCTGGACCCTGTTCGCCTTTACGAATCAGACGTTTGCCATTATATATATATATGAGATTGATAAAACTATTTTCCCATTGACAAACTGATCATCTATATGAGGTACATTCTTTGGATCTCCTTAATTGTAATTCACTTATATGCTCTATAATAAAAAAATACATTGGGCTCTCTTTTAATATTTTATATTAATAGGATCTACTTGGACTACTTACCCACGGATTTTTACCGATAGATAGATAGATAGATAGATAGATAGATAGATAGATAGATAGATACCAGTGTTAATTAAAGAAATTTTGAAAACAACCGTATTGATAATTTCATATCTATTAGTACCTGACGATTGTACACTCATGAAGCTCTGAGTCGTACAACTAACGTGGTTAATGTATATAGTTGTTAATATATATATATATATATATATATATATATATATATATATATATATAACTATTTATTATATGATATTAAAACATGTTAAAAATCGCTACACAATAGCTTTCACGCTTCAGCACTCAAATTGTGCCTCCTCAGGCGGTGATAAATAATTTGTGAGTAAAAAGTTATTTTTAAATTTTAAAAATAGATAACAAGAAATTAAAACTTAAATTAAATTAAATTAGCCCTTTTTTAAAAAATTAAATACTACAGTGGAATTATACTCCATTTGTTATATTCCCATACTTGGATATATATATATATATATATATATATATATATATATATATATATTCCTCTCGGAGACTGCATGTCCAACGATAAGAATAATAGACACACAACGACAACGCTTTCACGTAGGCTAAGTTTTCACCTGAATAATACTTCCAATATTTCTAAACACTTACAACAACACTCGCAATTTAGAAAAATCCTCCTCGAAAATAACTCCATACTTTTCCACGAACAGAATAAACACAAACTAAAAATTCTCAATATCAGAAAACTGAAACCAAACCTCAATAAAATTGATTACGATTCTTTCACAAACTTTTCAAAATATGTACAATTGATAGTCTTTAAATGCTAGCGTTTGTCATTAATAGTTTTTCCTTTATCTAGCAATTACTGAAGCCCGGAACTTTTCTACAGCATACCTAGTTATCTCACCTTAAACGGTATTTATCAACCAGCCATGACACAGCGTTCATGACTCCACATATAAAAATTGTAATCTCCGGATGACCACAACAATTTCTGTCATTCACAACCATGAACACTAAATATTTTATATTTAACAGTACCCTGATGATGAGATTATGCTATGTCGAAAGTACTCGGAATAAATACAATATGAGCCAATACAGTGTTTTCCTCTCGTCTTTTAACAACCGCACAAAATTAGCTTATTCGCGAATATGAGATCTTATCGAAAATAAATAGTCAGTCAGTTAGTTATGTGCCATGCATGATACACGCTTAGGCGATCATGTATCTTTCGATACATGACTGACGAGGCAGATTTTTTCCCGCAGTAGGTTGCCATTACTTCAGAGGGTAGACCAGTTGCCATCCAAGTCTATAGAACCCGGTCTGTCCTGCTATTTATCCATAGCTGGGAGAAGAAGAGGATTTATATCTTTTCCACCGGTATTAACACTTCAGTCAGTCAGTTATATTCCATTCGATACATGACTGACGACGCAGATTTTTTCCTGCAGTAGGTTGCGATTTCTTTCTGCGGTAGACCAGTTGCCATCCAAGGCTATAGAATCCAATCTGTCCAGCTATTTACCCAGAGCTGGAAGGAGAAGAAGAGGATTCATACCTTTCCCAAGAGTATTTGCGCGTAAGTGAATATCAGTCAGTTATGTGCCATGCGTGATACACGCTTAGGCGATCATGTATCTTTCAATACATGACTGACGAGGCAGTTTTATTTTTCCACCAATAAGTTGCGATTTCTTTCTGCCGTAGGCCAGTTGCCATCCAAGGCTATAGAACCCGGTCTGTCCTGCTATTTACCCATAGCTGTATTGACGTAGGATTTATAAATCTATTTGTTTTGTTTCATAATTAAGTGATAAACATAAAATCGCGTCAGTTTTTTTTTTAAATTGCCTAAGTTCATTGAAATAATTAATGAATTCTGCAAGACCCTGTATAATGTAATGTAATTACTATATATATATATATATATATATATATATATATATATATATATATATATATATATCATAAAATGCTATATTCCCCCGTATTCGTGGGGGTTAGGGACCAGAACGACCGCGA